GATTTCAAATAGGTTATCACGCAACAGTAAACATGAGTCAGTTATACGTATGCAGATCAAAATCCTCATAAGGGGTTTAACCTGTGCGCGAGCGTGTTTTATTGCGCGGACTGCACCGACAACCTATATAAATTTCAATGAATAATACCTACTTACTATAACTCAGCAACAAGTTCATATGTTTATTAGTTGCATGCCTCCTGCCATCCATTATCATCTTCGGCGTGACGCACAAGGATCCCAACTGGATGCCCTATCCAACCCTTAACTGGGCCTCATGGTCGTACGGAATCGCCGTTCTCTCCACCTTCTTCTCCTTTTTTGTCCTCCTTGCATTTGAGTCCACCTGGCGAGAGGCTAAACGAACCCTGGAAACAGCAGGCTATGAATTCCCCATGTCTGCAGTGCTTCGAAAACGTGAAAAGAAGGCTCTGATTCAGGCCCAGGAAAAAGCAGCCGAGGTCACTGCCCTCGAACCGCTGGTTCAAGACGCCCTCCAGGTGGGAGTTCCGCTCTCCGATATGCCTGTCAAGACTTCCGCATCCGTTATCGGCGGCAAACCGGAGTCAGAGGTGTCTGTCGGGAGTACCATTCGATCCCGACGGGATCCTCGATTAGGGTATCAACCTGGGGTGGCTACGGCTTCCATGCTATCGGGAAAACTTTAAATATGCCCGTGAATTGTTTTATACTTCTGTACAGTTTTGACATGATGTAAATTTATGACTATCTATAAAAAATGCGACAACAAAAATAATTTTGTTTGGTTTGCTTTTTTGCGTTTGTTGGCCTTATCAACAAGGTCCGTTCTTGAGAGTGACTTGATTCTGCTCTCGTCCACGCGAAGGTCATTCGCAAAGTCAAAAAAACTCTACAAGTAAAAATGCGAGTTCCAGGAAGTAATTGAGAAGTAAAGGCGATTGCTGCGACAAGAAATTTATTCGTCGGACGTTTCGGATTCCAACTGGAACCTATTTTCAGAGAGGCTGTATCAGATAAGGGCAATTCGTACACACAGGGAGTTTGTTGATGAATGTTCTGCCGACCACTAACGGAACTCATCTGTTCCGATCCGCCTTGAGTCTGCACAGAGACCCTGACAGGCGTAACAACTGGTAGCATAGCATTTCCGACAAATAAAAGGGAGACTGGAATGTCCATTTCTGGCTTATTAACCGTCGTCAGCCAGTCATACCCCCCCCAACCCCAAGTGGTGCACCACCCGAGGCGCAAACTCGTAACCTTTTTAATCAAAGTCTAACGCCCTAACCATTGCGCCACGGACTCGTTATATTGCTGGGGAAAATGCGACTTCCAGGAAGTAACTGAGAAGTAGAGGCGGTTGCTGGGACAAGAAAGTTATTCGCCTGACGTTTCGGATTCCAGCTGGAAGTCATCTTCAGAGAGGCTGCGTCAAATAAGGGGGCAATTCGTACACACAGGAAGTTGTAGTATTTATAGGATGCAGTTTCTTTGCTGCTTTATACCTATGACAGTTAGCGACTCTTCCCTTCACCGAGGATCATTTCCATTCGGTGCGCTACTTGCTTGATGGCCATCTCTGCTGACATTTAATCACCCTTGTTGAAGGTTGGCCGGAGGATTGCTCGGCCACCCATCTCGCGGGCATTGGCGTTGCTCGCCTGTGCACTGTCCAACCGACTGATTGCTTTGGCTAGACGAAGTTGGGGAGGCCATTACACTTGTTAATAGACCGTAAACCACGACTCAAACAACTGGCGGCTCACGCGATTGTCCCTTCTCGCGCTAATTTCGGCTCCATCGAACTTGAACATGTGGCTGGGTTTCATCGGATGAAGAGAATCCACTGTTGGTTCGTTTTCGGGAATTCGCGTCCAGAGCAGTCGTCTTAGTTCTCCGACATAGTTGCTTTTCCCGCAATGCGCCAGATCCGATGAACGACTGCACGTGTTTCTGGCTTTAGCAGTGGGTCTTTTAGTATCATTATCTGCCTCCTGATGGCTGTAGCCTGCCTGTGTGTGTGACTCCAAATCCAAGGCGGCGGCTGACGGCCTCCGAGACGTTTTTAATGTATGGGATTGCTTACCAATTCGGCCACATTGTCTGCTGGTTCACTGCAATGTTTCTCAACACGCCAGTCCGAAGCTATTACGCGACTGCGTCTGTGGCTGGTTGCGTGGTTGCTGAACCCTTGCCACCGCGACCTTGAAGGCCCGGTTCCAGATTGGAAGAGGAGAGTTGAGATGCCAGGCGGGAGGTAGTTTTTACCCTGTACAGAGTTAACGTAGAATCGGTTGAAAGGAGTTGGCAGCTTGACGAGCGTGTGTCCACATCCACGAGGGTTTGCATCCGAAGTGCCCCCTTCCAAGGCCGAAATTCGGCTGATGAAAGTGGCCGAACGAAGGGAGAATAGTTAAGTTGAGTTAATGAGACACATACCAACGGTAGTACTGTGATTAGCGTGGGCGGCTGCGCCTGGCCAGAAGGAGCCAGGTCGATAGGGCGACTGGAGAAGGCCGGTGGCTGAGTTTTACGACGACGGCAAATCGGTAGGGCGTGTCAGTATTGGTTAAGTTGAGTGAGGAGAGATACCGTTGGCAGTAGAAGTAAGATCGGCTATTGGGACGGAGGTCTGGGTGCTGGCATTTAAAGAGGGCGCGCTTTGCTGATGGCTGAGTGGCTGATGGCCTCCATATCGCTTCACGAGCAGATGTCGGCGAATAAATTCACCACATCGTGGTCACATCAGTCGATATAAGAAAATTCGGTTGATTTCGAAGGCGTTTTCTTGATAATTGAGTTACGCAAAATCAGAAGTTGCGTGTTCATACCATATCGGGGTCAACAATATCGCAGAGGCTTAAGGCAATAAGGAAGAGCCTCGCTGCTGCAATCTTCAGGCCCGGTTTTGTGGGGGAATAGAGGAAGTGAGTACTATATCCTATACAGAAATAGTGGAGAATGGGTTGGAAGAAGTGTGCAGTCGGACGAGTGCATGAACATTCAAAAGGTGGCCGCCTTCGAGGTATGTGAGCATGGCAGCTGTCACAGTGAGGTCCTGTATGATGTATGTATGATGGTGTACCAGACCGGATTGGGATAGACGGACACGGGTGTGTGAGCACTTTCCAGCAGCCGCGAAATGCGCATGGTTGAGCGTTGCATGTGGAGTACGGTCAGTAGAAGTACACATATAAGCAACGGTGTTACGCACCGTCACCCGCAATCGGTTTTTGCCCAATGAAATCGGAATTCTCGCATCGGCTTTAGCACGACAGACTAATGAGGGCATACTTACTCGAAACGAATTTGCTTTTGCCAACCGACCGATTATATTAAAAGTTTAACGGTATCAGCCTTGTGTTCATCTTAGGCTTTGCCTGTCGATTTCAACCCCAAAAGCTGTCGGTCAGGCTTATTTAAGCCGAATTAGTATTTACCAACAGCTGAATCTGAGGCCTCAAGCTGGAAAAACTGCTTCTGGAAACCTTCCCAATGATCACCTGACTTATAGATGTATTAATTACGCTGTAGTTCCATTTATGGCTGGGAAAGGCCATGACAGCTGGCCCTCTTCTCGAGCAATCGGCTGACCAGTATCCTAGTTAAAAGTACACAACTCTGAATAGGATATTAGGCGAAGTTCGCGTTGTCGTACGCCCACACAGACTACTGCTACCGTGAAGTAACAAGGCGAAGATGTAGACGTGTAGCTAAGGGTGACATTCCCGCAGTCATTGTACGTTTTTGCTAGTGGCAACCTCCGATTTTTTGGCCGGATCTCGAGTACACTCCGATAAACTTTGGCTAAAATAAGTCGGGAAAATGAAAATGTAACGAGGAGCTGTTCCCGAGGGTGTTTGCCTTACACATCTGTGGGATTGATCATTTTATGGCTACGGTAAAAAACTTCACTGAAGAGCGTGAGTTCCACGGCACAACGGGGAGAGTGTGATCCTTAATACGAACAGTGAGTGCCTCAAGTGCCGGCCGTGGTATGTTAAATCAGGCAGCCAATCAGCTTGCGATGCACTATCGAGCGCACGTGATGCCTTTGCTCACGCCTGCGGTGGACCGAATAATCGATATTATCTCGCGAGGGATTTTCACGCACTAGCCGGGCAATCA